CAAATAGTTATTTAATTTATTTAATATTTAAGCTAGCAATATAAAATTTTGTATGTATATGTAAAATATAATAAAGATCAGTTTTATTTGGTTTAAGAGATATATTTAATTATAAATTGTTAAAGAAAATTAAGTTTTCTTTAGCAGAATTTTGGTACAAGTGATCATTGGAAAGAGTTAGCAATTTGTGTCCCGAAAATTCATTTAATTAAATTTTAAATCTATATAGATTTAATATAATATGAATGACAGTAGTGGTAAAAAAAATTATAGAATGTGAATTTTTGGGATATAAAATAAACAAATCAGTTTGAATTTGTACTAGAGCCAAAGTTTGTAAATTTGTTTCAAATAAATTAAAAGAAATTCAACATACTGAAGTAAATAAAAATATTGATTTTTATAAATTAAATTAACCTACTGATTTACAAACTTCAAAGAAAGCTAAAACATATGCATAAGAATTTTATAATAATAAACTTAAATTTTAATTTAATTCAATTTAATTTTTTATTTTAATTTATTATAGAAAATATATGACATTTGCAAATATTCAATATTTATATAATTTTGAAACATGTGTAAACAGAGCTTAAGTTTGTCACTATGAAAAAAAATCAGATGAAAATATTCAATCATATTTTATTGGATGTTTAGTTTGGTTATCAGACCCAAAACATTTTCATTATAAATTAAACTGTAATAAAATTGATATTACAATATTAGAAAAATTGTTTAGAGAAAAAAGTCTATAAGTTAAAAATAAATTTTAATTTAATTTAAAATATTTTTAATTAATTAATAAATTACAATTTATTTTTAGATTACCTTAATTAATAAAGTAGTAAAAAATTGTCATATGATATTATCTACAAGTGTTTGTAAAAAAGAATGTTATATGTAAATAATTATTTATAATATTTTTTAAATTTATTATATTTTATTTATTAATTTTTTTAATAATATTATATTAACTTTTTTTTTATTTATCTAATAATGAATTAAAAAAAAATTATTAAATTGAATTGTAATGTTCAATTTATTAAACTTTTTCCTTTAGATATAATAATAATACTATTTGTTGTTTTAATTTATAAGAGAATTTATACTTATTCATCATCATCTTCAACTAATATTCCAGTTAGAATTCAAATAAACTTAGAACATATAATTAATGAAGCTACATAAATATTTAAAAAAGTTACACCAAAAAAAATTATATCAAGTAATTTATTAAAAGCATATTTTGGTAAAAATCTTTTTATTGAAATACATTTTTCACTTAATAATTTAAATAAGTTACAATATCTTGTTAACAAAGTTTAACAAAGACAATTTCTTTATAGACAAGGACTATTAGGAATTGTAACTGAATTTTGGAATGACAATAAAGAATTTAATAGATATTTGCAAGGAATTGGTATTTATATATTTTTATTTATTATTTTATTAAATATTTTTAATTATTTATTAAATTTATAAATACATTTGATAAAGGAAGTTTAATGATTATTTGTATGAACAAAAGTTAAGCAATTGCATAGAAAAATATTGAATATTTTCAAATTGATATGGTATTTAAAAGAGTACAAGGAAATATTAATAAATTTGAAATTAATAATTATTGTGAAAACTATAATCAAAGTATAAAAATTTTATTTATTTATTTAATTTTAATAAATTATTTTAAATTATATTATTTTAAATATTAAATTATTTTAAATTATAATTATAGATATTATATATGCATGTGTTTATACTAATGCCTCAACTTCTGAAACATATTATCAAATTTTTATAAACTTATAGCATTATTTTAAAATATTAACTAAAGAGTCTCCAATGTTTGATTATATTCATAATAAAGAATGGAAATGTATATTTGGAGATTTAGATTAAGAGTAAGCAAAAGGATTAGAATTAGCATTAACTCATATTGAACCAAAGTAAACCTGGAATGAACATTTATTATATATTTTTAAAAGTTGCAAAGTACATTTTTTTAGGTAAATTAAATAATTTTTATTATTTATTTAGTATAAAAATTTAAATTAAATTAAATAACAATAATTAATTAATTAGAAATATTAATAATTGTGAATGAAATAAAGATATAAAACAATTAATGATAGAAATTTCTACAGCTACAACAAAATTATGAATTGAAGAAATATTTAAAACTCTAAAAAAAATTAATAATGAAAATCTTGAAGATAAATTTTTAAATTATTTTTTATTAATATATTTATATTTAATTAAAAAATTAAATTTTAGAATGGATCAAATTTTATTCAACCGATTGGGTTATTGCTTCTTTAAATCCAACTTTCTCAAAAATTCCAATTGATATATGGTATTCTACTCAGCATGATACAAATATAACAGAAAGTAATCATGCACGAGTAAATCAATATAGAACAAATTTATACCTTTGAGTAGCAATTCAAAAGTAAATATTATTTATCTATTAATATAATATAATATAGTATAATATTAATTTAATTGTTTATAATTTAGAGGTTATTTGGAAGATCGAAGAATTTTTCATTCACAAGAGATACATAATATTTTTGGAGTTTCTTATACTAACCATGATAACAGCATAGTATCAAGAACAATTAAATCTGTTAAAAGAAATAGTAATTATTATTTAATATACTAATACTTTAAATAAATTATAATTATAATTATTAATAATTAATTTATTTTAATTTTTAATAAATAGAAAATGTAAATATTCTAATACAGAAAAAAACCAATACACAACTAGATCTACTGCTAAAAAAAATAAATTACAAAAAAAATCTGAAACAGGCTTAGATGAAACAGAAAGAAACTTGACAATTCGAGAAAAACAACTTGAATTAGAAGAACGTGAAGCAGAATTGGAATTAAAAAGATTGAATATTAAAAAAATGAAAAAAAGATCTTAATCTTTAAGTATTATGTATTTTTTTTAGTTAGCCACCTATTATGCTTCTATATAAATGCTTCTATATTAGAATTATTTGTTTGTTTTTAGTTCTTATATTCAACTTTACTTAGCTGCTTTAGTATTTATAATATTTAAATTATTTATTACTATTTGTTAAATTGCTTTATTAAATAAGAATTAAAAATTTGTACTCTAGGTTCTACATATTTACAAGTAACTTTAGTGAACTATTATTAAAGTAAATATGTTAATTTGACTGGTTGTCTTAGACAAACCGAATTCGTTTTATGCTAATAGCAAATATTTGAACCCTTTGTTCCAACATATTGTAAAATATATAATTAAATAGTTTCGACGCATTATAGAATAACTGAATTTCAAAACTGTTCATCAAATTCACTACACCTTTACTATTCTAATATTACACGAATGCTGAATTGTAGAGTGGCAACTTGTCATTTTCCGACTTAAACTATGTAAATACTTTCAAGTACTTTAATTTCGTTATATAAATACTCTAAAGTACTTAAGAAAATGATTAGATTACTGCAAAGTATGGGTCAAATCCTGATTGATACTGCAACAATTCACCCGCACTTCGAATATCAAAAGACTTTACAGTCCCAGAAGGTACGGTAAAGAACAAATAGGTTACGCTGCAAACAGGGGCACGACAATACTCAGATAAATTAGGTAACTGGTACTTTATATGGAGTGACCTATTGTATGGGTATGTAGTGAATAACCCAGTTACATACACGGGTTCATATTTAAATCCCGTGCCTTCACGGAATATGAACCCCGTGTGTAACTGGGTTATTCACTACATACCCATACAATAACTATAATTTATTTAGTAACCGCCAGTAATTTAAGTTTTTTCATTCGCGAATTTCTTTAATAACTCCTGTACATAGCAACGATGATCTAAATAGGTACATAATATTTATTGAAAAATTTTCAACATATCATTGGTGATATTAAGAATAATAGTTAACTTCTAATAGTATAGATCATTTAAAAGAGGATCGAAAGAATCCGAACCTCTATTAATAGGCAAGTTTGTATTTTATTTGGTTCAACAAATTCCTCATTACAGTCACGAATATTCGAAGTGGGTCAAACATTGGAGTTCTGCTCGCATCAATTCAAAGAAGAAAAAAACTTGTATGCAGAAAGAAACTATCAATTCATTTAAAATAAAGGAATGTAAAAAAGATTAACCACAAAAAGAGTACGTAATTTATCGAAGAACACCACAAAAAACCAACCAGTCAAAAAAAGTAAACTAGGGCTATATTTTTAGAGTGTTGAAATTCAAATTTATTTGTACTATTTATATGCACTGTATAATTGTAATAATGAAATAAAAATAAATTTATAGACTTATATTCCGGATCATCATCCGGACGATTATCCGAACTACATTTTCTGGGTACACAGTGCACGGTGAGATTCCATTAATAAGCACACACGACCTAATTCTCCCATGCTCTAATTCTAATGCTGGCCATGATGTATCAAGAAAGTTAAGGCTACCCTACTGTGAATACAATATTATGTGTTTGCTGTGTCAGTATATTTTCCTCTTATAATAGAAAAACTTGTTCTAGATATTTCAATTTGAGAACCCAAACCTAATATGAGAAAGTTTCGACTCCGGACTTACTGCATGCAAGATGAAGTGACTTAATCTAGTTCTGTCTTAGACTGCATGCAACTATAATAATAATTTGATTTTCATTGGTTCGCAAAGATTGCAGATGGCCCTTATCAATTCAGGTTTACTATATACCGTTCTAATCCTAAAGCGCACTACGCTATGTGTGAACATTTCTTGCAACTAAACAAAAAAATAAAATAAAAGTCAATGGCTTGCATTTGGGTACATAAAATAAAGTATAGGGAACAGATAAATGAATAAAATCTATATATTAAAATTTGTATTTTATCCGTAGAAAGGTGAGCGTTTCGTTTGATAATGTTTGTTTATATTTGATTATTGTCAACATAATGTAAACTATGCACTGAAAGATGAAACAAATTAAAATATATTAATAATACGATTATTTATACAGTAATTTGCGAATTTCTCAAACAAAATTGTTTCGATCGCGATGTCTTCTCAGGAATCTTATTTTTATTCGAGATTTATTTATTTTGTTATTATAATTTTCACATTCACAATTCTTTGGAATATCTGTGAAAGTGTGGTATCGATATATTACGGAATTAAATGCATGTCCATTGGTCTGTTTTTTCTTGGAATCAATTTTTTTATTTGCGCGATATCTCCAAGCTTTGCCTTGTGGCAATTTATTGAAGAAGCAAGTTCTAATGAAGACCAAAATTTTACTACCATACGAGATAATATGATACGCAATAACAAAAGAAAAGTAGGATTAATAATGACGATTCTTCATCTCTTACTTGCCATTACCTCTCTTTTATGCGCAACAGTTGGCATTGTTTTTGAAAAAATGCCAGAAACCACTTTTCCAGGATTGATAACCACCAGTATTTCATTACTTATTACATTGTTTCTTTGGTTAACCATACGATATCTTGCTAGAAAACTCGGTTCTTCAACAGTGTTATCCGAAGCTCGATATTCATTAATTTGTTTAGAAATTACGGCAGTCATTTTCTTAAGCAGTCTATTATATCTGATATTACCGAATATATGGTGGTTGGATTCTGCAGCAACGTTAATACTAGGAACGTTACTTATTATCGAATGTTCCATTAAGATATATGTGAGCAAACGCAATTCAGATAAAGCAAATGGAAACAATTGTCGAATTACTATTACGGTTGAAGAAACGACTAGTTCACAAAATAATAGTTTTCGAAAGTCTTTTAATTCAAGCAAACGACCGTCTTCCAAACTTAGTACAAAAGTTAATGAAAGGCAAAATAAGAGGCCTGGAAGTTTTGATCTTTTAGATATTCCTATCGAAACAAAACCAATAGACATAGAGATGTTAAGATGAGTTATTCTATTTAGTTATAACCATTCACACTTTGTATAGACAGAAACGCATTTATCTTAATTTATTTTCATAACTTGGACATTTAAAAAATTCTTTTAAAAATGCATTGGTCTAATTCTTGATGAATTAGGTCTTTAAATACATCCATATTTAATAGATTCGATAAGTACTATCGTTTACTTATTTTAACCAAAGATTATTTTATTTAAAAAGCCAAAATTTTCTCATTTTATTCATTTAACAATGTCTCTGTAAATTACATGTGTTATTAAAAAATGTATCAAGCCAAAATTATAAACACAATATAGTCTTACTAGATACTCGATTCATTAATTAAAGCTAATTTATGTTAAATAGTGATAGAACATGCATAATTTAAATTTACGTATATTGATCCGACTAATTCGAAAAAATCCGATAATTCGAATTGAATGCAGACATCCATATGCGTTAATTTTAGGCGAACCAGTTATACATAAATTTTGTGACAGTCAATAATTGAATCGACACATTACTGTAACAGCTACCAACATTTGCTAAGATCAGAACTTATCGACTCACTTGTTAGCAATTTTCTCCGTAGTCTAGAATTCATGAACAGCTATAAAATATAAAATATTTGGTTTTTAAATAAAGTGTTATCGCACAACGAGAGTTCTATATAAAATACAAATTTTGTTTCTCCGAAAATTTGCAATCTCATTGGTTGATCAATAATTCACAGCTTGCATCAAATCCGAATTTATTCAATTCGAATCGAGTTATAATTCGAATTATTATTCGAATCGAGTTATAATTCGAATTATATAATTTGAGTCGAGTTATAATTCGAATTATAATTCGGATATTCGAAAAAGTACTGTAATCCGGATATCCTTTAAAGAATAGGATCGAAACACTAGCTACATATAGTGGTGGATCAGTCTTGTAAAGACTGGTGACGGACCGAGGACCGAATTATTTTCAGTTCTCTGGTTTTAGCTGATAAAAAAAAAAAAGATTACGACTATTATCATAATTTTTGGGACACCTGCTCATTACCCGTAATCTTTTTGGTCGTTTGGTAAATTACCTAACTCTCCAGAAATTAATCACGAAGGTCCAAAGAGTTAGGTAATTTACCGAACGACCAAAAAGATTTCGGGTAATGAGCAGGTGTCCCAGAAATTATGGTAATAGCTGTAATACGTAAGAAAAAATTGATAAAAAAAATGATAATAAAGAACAAATAATAATAAATTTTTTCATTCTTTTCAACAAAGAACGATTCTAAAAATCTTTTATTCTTATTTTCTGCTGTTTTACAAAATATGAGACGCACGGCAATGTTAGTATAAGTGATCATCCAATTAATGAGGCCCTAGTTCCCAATAAAATAAGCACCGACGCCCCAACCTTTAATAACAAACCCCAATATTTAATCATGACCGATTAAAAAAAACACATCCGATAATTAGAAAACCTATGCATTATTTTATTGCATTAAATAGCTTTATTAAATTAGCTTTTCATAAAAAAAAACATCGTTACATTAAAAGAAATATAATAGACGATGCATTTGTAAGGGAATTCTGTGCTTAAAAAACAGGCATTAAAAAGAAATTTGCGATATAGAAAATTAATACTGCGATTATTTTATTGCGTTAAATAGCTTCATTAAATTAACTTTGCAAAAAAAAAGTACATTTTACAATGATATTTAATATATGTAACAATTATATAATCTGGCTGTTGATTTTGTTTTGAAACTTAAAACGATAAAAAAAGTATAACGATAAACCAATAATGGTAAGTATTTGAAATTCTTATCGTAAGACTAATGATCGTCAAACCTGACTACGTAACAAATCTCACAGGCAGAAGTTTGTCTGATTGGCTTAAATTCAATTTAATTTTACATTATTTATACAGTTTAGAGTACTTTTTTAAAAAACGAAAACTAATTATAATAAAAAAAAAAAAACTATATAGAAGGTTTCATTAGAGCTGTAGGACTTCATAACCGAAAATATGATCTAATTCTCGTCCGTTTAAAAAAGTCATTATAGTAATAACTTCTTAAAACCTAACGTTAAAACGTTAATTTTTTAATAGGGAAACGCACTGACGATCCCGCATTAACTTTTGGTTAATAAATTTAACGAATTTCAATAACAATCTATAGGCCATATTAACACTTCTGATACATTATATTTTATAAAATAAATTAAAAAACTTATTAATAATATTAAATCTAATGATTGTTATTTATTTTTTTTTTAAAATATTAACGGTGAGGTCATACCTTTAACTTTATTGAAATTCAATTGAAGTTTTTATAAAGAAAAGTTTGTTTTTAAATTATATATGAAGAATAAAGATTCAGACATATAATCTGCAACCTAAACCTACAAGAATGGTCAAGGCTCACCTAGATTTGGGTGTTAGTAATAATATATGAGAGAGGAATATGATATTTAATCCATTGGATAGTCTAAAGATCAATTTTAATAATAATTTGTGATATTGAGATAGAAGATAATGATAAACTAGAAGGAGAATTATGAGTTGAGTTTGTAGAAGATGTAGTTGAAGATTGTGCTGATTATGAAATACAATATAGGATCCATATTTGTTTGTATATTTGTTGGTTTAAATGAAGAAGAAATTTAATAGAGAGTGAGATAGTTGTATAATAGAGAATAGAAGTATTGTGAATAGTAGAAATAAGGTCAATGGGAACTAAGTCAGATAAGATAGAGATAAGAGATAGTATATGAGAAAAGTTATGCAGTTTAAAACAATTAAGTGTAAGAATTTCTTGGTATAAATTAGAAACAAGATTGGAGAACATGTTAAGAGCAGTAGCATTTAAGATGCAATTAAGAGAATTAGAAATTAAGTGATAAATTGTTTGAATAGAAGGACAAAGAGTCTAGTGTAATGAAAAACTAGTTTGATTGTATTGGTGACAGAGAGGAGAATAAGAGGAGTTATGTTTGTAAAAAAATGAAGAATAAGTAGTTCATTCAGAAGAATTTTAACAAAAAAGGTTTTGAGAATAGAGGAATAAAAACTATGGACAAAGTTAGAAACCTTTTGATTATTATTAATATAAAGCCAAGTGGCTTCCTAGTTGATGTTAGAAGCAATAGTAGACCATTGTTGGAAATGATGTTGGGATGTCCAAAGCATTATTATGTGAGCTTAACAGATAGTATGAATGGAGCATTGAATAGGAATTTCAATAGGAAATTAGTCAATAAATAGAGTATAGGCAGAATTGTAAGGGTTGTTAGTTAAGAATGTTAAAAAGGGTAGAATTTGGTAACAATAGGCAAGTTGGTCAGCAAGATTATTAAATAGATCATCTTGATGTGCAGTAACTTTGTAAAAAGTAAGTTAAATGTTGTATGAGTTAATGAAGTTGTATTTAATGCTTTACTATAATTAGTTTATAAAATAAATTAATTATTTTATAATATTTTTATATAATAAAATTATTAATCTTATTTTATTAACTAAGATAGTAAATTATTAAATAAAATTATTATTGTCTACTTCTGTAAGTATCAACTAATATATTTTATATTCTCTTTTAATTATTTAGTAACTTAGCTGTACTAGCTAAATTACTAATCAATCATTATTGCCTATAAAATATAGCAGTTATTGCATATTTGGCATACAATAACTATATAGTATTTAATACTAATTACTTTAATATTGCTTTTTAATTTGCTCAAGTTCTATTTAAATAACTTTTATAAATAATACAGATATATAATATATATATATATATTTTTTTAAAGAGAGGTCTATTTTTTATCTCTTTATTAATTAGTTAATTTATATTATGAGATACATGTTAAAAAAACTAAACTAGAAGAGATAAGATAAGAGCTACTTTACTCTTGATTTATTCATTGCTAAATGATCAGTAAACCTCTAGTTTTTGATAAAGTAATAAGGAAAAGATTGTCTATTAGTAATATAATATTGTATCTTTTCATTTAATACTAATATTGCAATTGGTTTAGTTTTAGTTAATATTGAAAATTGTAGTGATGATGAGGTTGAAAAAACTGAATTATATAATATTGCTCTAAAAGTAAGCCAAAGCTTTTTATATATTATAGTAATAATATTGTAATATATGAGAGAAACATATTAATTTTTTTGTTTGTTGTTTTCAAAGAGCACCAGTATATTAGTAGTTATTAGTTCTAGTAGCATATGCTTATTAATATAGCTTGAAATGAAGGTTTGAATAAAACTTGTATATTATAATATAATATTTCTAAATCATTTAAAGTTTTCTGCATTGCATCTTTTATTAAGGTTATAAGACATATATGATTTTAGAAGCAAGTTAAGAGATGTATTATATCTTCTAGTATATTATAGCATCTTGTACAGAGATAGTTTGGATGTTTGATAGCATTTCTTCAATAAAAAAGAAGGTAAGTAGATAGCTCTTTCAATAGTAGTTTAATTTTAAAATTTTTTAGTGCTAAAGAGAAAAAATCAGTTACTAAAGCTAAGGATTTCTTTTTATATAATATGTATTGCAGAATTAATAACTAGTTAATCTTGATTTATGAAGTATGCCAGTATAAGATTTATTATTAGTTAAACCAAGCTGTTCTGTTTGTAATTTGGCAAATTTGCTTTAAAATAGTTTTTAGTAGATTTGTACAAAAATTGTTAAGGAGCTTTGAGACAAAGCAGTTACATAAAAACTTTTGTAATATAGAATCTAATAGAAAGATATTGTTTTGAGTATTGGAAATTTTGAGTTCTTTGTCAAGTATAACTGTTAGAATTTAGTTATATGTTTTTGCTTTTAGTATTAGAAAAAAGATAGATATATTACTATTTATTTAAACTAAAATAGTTATATAATTAAGCCAATTGTATAAAAGTGATTATGTTTACAAATAAAGAGTTGTTGATATATATTTTTATGCTGATACTAGGGTTTATTGTAGTAAGCACAAAGATTAGCAAGGTTATTAATA